CTTCGCCGTGAGCTCCGACCTGTCCGTGAGGCGGAGGGCCGCCTGGCTTGGGGGGCTCTCCTCTCACTCTCTCCCGGGGGGACCTCTTTCCGTCCCCCCGCTCGGATGCGGATCACTGCTGACAGGCGAGGAGGTTTCGCCTCTTGTTTTCCCGCTTTCGGGAAAGGCACTCGTCCGGGTGACCGCGAAAGAGATGGGACGTGTGTCGGCGACTTCTCCGGCGCTTCCCCGGTCTTGGCTCTCCGGAACCCCGCGTCTGGCCAGGTAAGGACCTTTTCTTACCTTGCCGGCGCGGGGGGCATTTTGGATGGGGACATTGTAGTTCATTTGGAAGAGTATGTTAATAAATGCTCTTGGACTCTGTCCTTACTCGGGTACGTGTGTCTTCTCTTCCGCTATATTCGAGAGAGTGAGACAAGGTAGACGATCATTGGCACCGACGGAGGTAATTAATCGAACCGACCCGCGGTAATGTAGCCCTAAACGTCGTCTAGATTGCCGCGGAGATGTGGGGACCGCGGGCTACTAGGTTTGACGTCTCCTTTGAGATATCGCCGCTGTTGAGATAATCCTTTGGTTACTCTATCGGTACCTGTGTTTGTTGGTAGCTAGCAACATCCCACACCCTACGACTGATGATAGGTGTTGGCATGACTCTAACGGATGGTTTGGGTTTTAACGTGGACGCCCGAAACCAAACTTTGAGCCTTGATATTTATAAAACTACACAGAATAGTGAAGAAAAAAAATTTTACCTTGTGATTCAGACACTGCCTTAGCTGAAAACAGTCATAATTTAAATTTCAAATATATTGTCCGGATTTGCTCTTTAATAAAATTCTAAGATGACTTTTTTTAGGGATGATTGTGTTTTGATTTTTATGGCTTCTTTTTTTTACAGAAATGGCTTTCGAATGCGATGGGTTATCACTCCGGATAGTACGATCATTTGTTCACTCGTATTGATTTCTTCTCAACTGTCTTATTTGTTCAAATCATAAAAAAGCGGTTATTATCAGGCTGCAGCCCCCCCCCCCCCCCCCGCCTCCCAGGCACTTTTGTGTCACTCTGATAAAGAGGGATTCTGACACGGTCTTGAGCACGGTGGATGAAGTGAGGGGTGTCGTGAGGCACCCTAGTCTGAACAAGGCCAGAAAGAGGACCTTCCCTTGTATCTCTCTCTCTCTCTCTCTCTCTCATCTTTGTCAAAAGGATAGAGGGTCGAATTTCGCTCGGGCTTCGCGCGTCTCCCTGCAGGGCACTGTCGGCTTAGTGCCTTCTCGCAGGTGCGGGAGCGCGAGACGCGGCCTTGAAACCTGGAAGGACGGTTTCTTGAGCCCGTAGTAATATTACGCACGTCACGGCGTTTGCCAGAAATCCGAACGAAATTTTACCACCCTTGTACCATGGCGAGGCGGTGCCGCTCAGACACCGTGGTCGTGAGGGCATGGACCCTCAAGATTTTAACCAGGTAGCACCATCATTCTTCGCATGCCGGCACCACCTCAACTTCTTAAGCAGCATTTTTGTACACTTGAGTCGTAACGAACTCGCTGTGCCATAATGCGATTGGGAATATTAAAAAGATTGTGTTTTAGTTATGAGGTTCGCTTAAGATGGGGCAGTTTCCCCAGCAATGTCGGGGTTTCTAGGGACATAGCCTCCTCTATATAGAGGAGGCTATGCTAGGGACTTGTTGCCCAGATTCTCAGGCTCTGAGTTTCTAGGATCGGGTCTGGAACGAAGCGGGTGAGCAAATTCTAACACTCGGAGGCGTTAAGCAGCAGCCAAGCAGGAATAGACTCTCTCGGAAAAAATTATGAGTGACTATATCTCTTTGAAACGTTGAGCCAGCTAATCTTCGTTGATAATCCAGTATTTATGAAGACTAAGTTAACCGCAAAAAAAATGCATCTTTATCCAATATGTTCGAATCCGAGATTGCAAGTCGTTTACTATCAGCCCATAAGTTTTCTTTTCTTGAAGGTGAGACAGTAAGGACAATCTTTGCAACCTCGAATCGAGATATCTCATTTAAACATTGCGTTTACCTGTAGATGTTTTGAGAAGCCAGTCCGCTTCACTTTTTGTTCGTATCATTTTCTGTTCCGCGTGCACAATTGTTCTCGAGTACACAAAACACGACCACAAAGTGGTAGAGTAATCATTAAGTGTTTGATGCACAAAACCTTACGTTTTGTTGCACTAAAACCAAACATATTTCCTCCTCAACGACGCGCTTTCTCGTTAAATATTCATCTACTACTTATGGGATGATATGCTTGAATTGTCGGCATTATGATTCACGTGTTAACGAAAAAAAAAAAAAAGATATCACTGCGATTGAAGAATCGCAGCGATTTCGTTGGTATAAGGTCAATGAGACGGAAGTTAAATGGTTAAATTTGAAGCGATTTTTTTTTTAGAAACGCCTAACTAAACAACAATCTTCGTTATGTCATCATAGTATTTTTTTTTCCCCCTAGTGCGCGGCCAACACGCTTTTTTTGGCAGAACGGGTTAGCGGGTCTCGAAAGGAGAACACGGCCCGTTCCGGCTGCTATGTCAAGACTGTTTCTTTCTGCAAAAACAAACTTCAAAGGCGAAGAAGCCGCCGACGCCGTGTTACGGGGGAACGAGGAAAGCTGCCCAAAGATTAATAGACGCGCAAACGAGTAGAGTCGCTGGGAATGGTCGTGTCCTCTGCGATAAGCAGGCGAATTAAAACCTCTTTGCTTCTATACACGGCCTCGCGGATTAGCTGGAGCGCACTAACGTTCTGCCTCGCATGTTGTCTCTTATTATATTGTTTACCGAAAACCTTTGCGTCAATCAGCTTACATAATTGTTTTCATTCGTCAGTTATGGTGAATTCCGCTCGCAGATCTCGAGCGCTCCAAAAGCGCTCCATTTGGAGCGCGCATATTCCGCTCGCAGATCTGGCTCAAGTTGGTCATCTTCCGCTCGTAGATCTCTGGCAGCGCCCGCTCCACGGAGCGCCCCAAACTCCGCCGAACTTGCTCTGCGGGATTTCACAGATCTCTCCGGAAATTGACAGAGCGGCCCACGTGATTTCCGTCTAAATCGGCGGTGCGCATGCGCGGCGAGGTTGGAGAGATCGGCGGGCCGGTCGGGCCACGGTCGGGTCGTGGAGTTGGATCTGTTCGGGTGCGTCGGTTCTTTACTCTGGACTGTGACGGCTCGAACGCTTCTACCTCGCGTAGATCAGGGATAAAAAGCCGGGAATGTGGAGCGTGGCAAATCGTAAGCGCTGACATCTGTGATCACCGAGGAAGAACGAAAAAAAGAACGACAGAAAAGCCGGAGGCAGACGCAAGGTTAGGCCTATTCATTCTGCAGCCAGTGATTGTTTACCTTTTTACACTGCATTCCATCGGCGTTTTCCCGTGAAATAAAGCAAGAAGTGGTTAGGCAACGACCGCGCAAGTGATGGTTTGTTACCTCTGTGTTTATTAAAGTCGTACTAGCAATCTGAACTCCACCGCTGGCAATCGCTGTCCGTGCCCCGCCGCTTCGAGGCGGCCGAAAGGTATGTGACGGTGCCGAACGCGGACGTCTTCGCTATTTGTGACATGGGCGCCGTGGTACGTATAATTCCGCCCGGCCTGTGTCGCGTGTTACTTCTGCAGCTAAGCAGTGACAGTCGTCACTGGTCGTCGGAAAGATCAGCCGGCTGAGGCGTTGGTGGGCTGGTCAAGTTCGAGCAGCGGCCATTTTGAACGGCGGAAGGAGAAGGGGTGGGGAGGGGTGTGGGGGAGGTCGCTCCAAAAATGCAAGTTTATCTTCCCCTCGTCGATACGGAGCGGGTCCCACGGAGCGGAATTTCGCCTCCCTCGCGGATTTTGGAAAGCGCTCCAGATCTACGAGTGGAATTCACCATTAGATTTCACAACGACGCCAGTTCGCAAAATTGCCTTCTTCACCGAAAGTAAAGGGGGGGGGGGGGGGGGGGGGGGGGCGCACACATTTCTTTGCACTGACTTCAGGACCGCTCGACGGAGGCTAAAGAACCTCATTGGATGTAGCTTTGGGCTGACCGAGCCGGATTTTTCTCCGGATGCGCCATGAGGCACGCCATAAATAAAAAGGGGCTCAAAACATAAGACAGTCACAGAAGACCATTTCGATCGCGTCCGTATGAAGAGACTTGCTGGCTGCAACCTCGAGACCCGCGAGCTGAGCGTAAAGTGCTATATTTTGTGTTTTAGTTTTAGTAGATCGTTTCCCTACTTCCAATACCCCCGATAACGCTACGACGCATGCGCAAAGGCTGCGGCGGAATATCGGGCATTGTTATCCAATTCATCGGAACGTTCTACTAAAACGATCTACTATTTTCTATCTTGGGTTGAATGCAAACCTAAGCTGCGTTTTTTTGTTCTTTACAACGGGGCCGTTAAGGGGCTAGTTTCCCCAGGATCGTGTCCGGGACCAAACAAATGTAGACATCCGTGGTCGACACAACACTGGTTGTTTTTGACCTTTCAGAAGTTTTAATTTGGGAACATCCGTCAAATAAACAAGAACTCGGTCTTTCTTCGTGGGCAGAAGTGTGTTGATGGACCATCCCGATGGCAGCCTGTATTCCGTTTTCCAGTGAGTCCGACCGAAGCCAACGCTGATTCGGCGAAACCAATCAAGCAGCGCCAAAAGTTTGCCAACACGGCGTTCGTCGTCACAGCGTTCGTCGTCAGTGTTTGTCGCCACAGTGTTTGTCGTCTTCGTGCGTTTGCTACCGCCGGCTAAAGCAATCGGGCACTGAAAGAAGCGCGGGATCACGGCGTATTCACTGTGCATGATTAGTCGAGCCGCGGTGATACAGCAAACGCACAAAGACGACGACCGCCGTGACGGCGAACTTTTGGCTTTGGCTTCGTCGAATCGTAGCGTTGGCCGGACTTAATATAAAACGGAGTACAGAAGCCTAGTCGCCATTGTGTTGCCTCCGAAAACGACAGAGGCCGAGCAAAGACACTTACTTGACCGAGTCCACAATGGGATGCTGACTGCCCATCATCTTGCCCACCGTGCTAAGGAAAGTGTGCAGTTCGCCGATCCTCATAAGTTTTTCGGACATCCGGCTCGTGTTGTGGCCGGTCAGCTTTTCCGCGTCCTGGATGGCCTTGTTGAGGCGCAGTGCGCTGGGCGCTGGCACCGCCGCCGCCGCCGCCGACGACGACGACGACGACGCGAAAGAAGACGCTTTCACGCGCGACACCGTCATGACCGCATCCACGGAACGACACCTCCGGGGTCGGAGCCTCTGGCACAACACCCGGCTCCCAGAGGCCATGGACGAGCCGCTTTGGCAGCGGACGCTCCGAGCAGAAATCCGAGACGGCCTTGGGCGGCTGCTTCCACCGACGTCGCTGTGGGAGCGGCAGAAGCTGAAGAAGGTGCGCGAAGCCAGCAAAGCCGCAAGCGGCCCGCGTGGTTCAGCGAGACACCGCGCAAGAAGCTAGCAGCCCTTCTCCGCGACTCCGTGCGCAAGCGAGTGCTGCTCTTGGAAAGTGGGCCACGATTCTCTCCGCTCCGCGCGCGGTGGGGCTCGCAGAAGGAAAGCGCTGAAAGAAGGGGTGGCCCGATTGTGGCTTTGCCTCCTGAAGAATCTCCCCGGTTGGCCCGGCCGGGAATCGAGCCCTGCAGCGTCCTTATTCGGCCAGGTGAAAGTGCGCCCACTCCGCGGACGGAATGGCGCTGATGCCGGGCCGGCTGAAGGCGAGCTCAGGGCACGCCCGCCCGACCCCAGTGTGACCGGCCATCTTTGTGTCCTGGAGAGTGGAACACTTTCTGAGCTCGCGCTGTAGCCATCTTTCGCGGAACACCAGACGGCGCGCACGTGTTCGTAGCCCGATGAGTCGGCTTTTCTTTTTTTCCTGAATGATAAGCGTTGGAAAGGTGACACCTTTACTTTATTTCAATATAAGTCCGAGCTTTGACAAAGGCTAGAGTTTTAAGGAACACAATAGCGCAGGCAAAACTCGCAGGGCGATGATTCACGGTGAATCCCTCCGCTTGTAGGCGGTGGCAGCACACGGGGGAAAAAAGACAACGCACTCCGTGATGTAGCGCCTTTGGCACTGCTCGGTTGGTCCTATTGGCTCGTAATGTCGACTGCGCTCTTCAGTTCCAGCTCGATTCGAAGGCGCACGCTGATGTGGTGCGTGTTCTGCACTGTGCGCCTGAAGAGGCGTTTTTTTATTATAATTTTACTTGTGATTCATGTTAACTTTGTCGGAATAAGATAGCCATAAAGTGTGGCAGGGCCGTAACCAGGGGGGGGGGGGGGGGGGGATAGGGGGTTCTGACCCCCCCCCCCCCCCCGCAATTTTTTTCTGGGTACGGCCCTGGTCGGTGCACTTGCAGCCAGCCATTTTAATCTCCACCTCTGCGCACGCGCAGTGGCGGCGATCGGCTACCGGATACCAAACCGGGACCGGTTCTCCAATTTGCTGCAACTCTCCATTATATACCACCGATGCACATGATTCATAGGCGAAAATAAGACAATAGACACTTTCAAAATGTCCGCCGTTGTCCCCGAAACCCCCCCCCCCCCCCCCCCCCCGAAATTTTTTTCTGGGTACGGCCCTGAAGTGTGGAGCCAAATTTGCCACCAACTAAATATCGCGGGATTTCCATCGGGATCACCTAAAGCGCCGGCTGATGGATTTTATTAACAAATTACACCGAAGCTGGTGCTTGCTGAGACACACTGTAGCCGAAAATGGCGGAGCGTCCCCGCCAACTCGGAGTCATGACTGGAGTTACTCCTTCCACTCAACGGGCCACAAGCACTTCCTTAGCTCGTGACTTGAGAGTCAAACTCCGGAACTCGATCATAATACTCGGTGCTCATGGAGTAAAATAGTTTTACTTCCGGAAGGGTGACGCAGTCCCGCCTGGTCCCGCCGAGAGCGGACGCCGGTCGCGGGGGCCTCGAGCTTGTTTTGGTAGCCATTTCGCTACTGTTGGTTCGTCTGGCAAAGGTATCTGATTAACCGACAAACTTCACAATAGATGTATCATCGAGGAAGCAAAGAAATGTGATTCATATCATCGTCCGGCCTTGTGAAGAAGTGGTACTCTGTTGGTAGTCTAGTGTTACGCGTTAAATTCATCACCTGCTTCCTTATGCCGAACTTTTCATTGCAGTTGCTCCGCGTAAGCACGTACAGCTTTAGAAACGATGTTTGCTACTTCCCCTTCCTGGTGTCGGGTAGCGGACATTTCATCGAACGCCGTTTCATCGAATGAATGGTCATTTCATCGAACGCCATTTCATCGAATCACTAAGGGCCGTTTCATCGAATTTCTCTGCATCAAGTTTTGGGGCATAACAGTGCTTTATAGATGTTTTACCTTACATTTGTTAAGACTAAGGTAGTCACTTGCGAAACTGTTTTTAGGGTGGAGTCAAATTACTGGAAATAAAAATCATTGGTATAAAAACAAATGGGTATGCGACTTACTGAAAAGCTTTACTCATGTACATGTCAGTAAACATGACACTGGAGGTAAAGGACCGCCACTTAAAACACTCTTGAATGTCTGTGTTGTTTTTTTTACCGGCTGTCTGGGGGTTTCGGTAATGTGCAATTCCACCAGCTCGTTTGCACACTTACGTTTAGTCAAAGGTTTATTCACGAAAAGCATTTAACTGCCAGGGCAGCACGCTTATAATAAAACGATACTCTGCCAGGGGAGCACACGAAATAAAATATAACGATACTCTGATTATCAGCTTTATGCTCAGACTGAACGTTTCTGCTTTTTTTTTAGTTTTCAAACTCTACAGAGGCAAAAGCTGCACAAATTGTCGGCCAACATGGTTTCGGGCTACACCTGGACTGGAACCACCTCCCCTTCACTGTCAACTTTATCACCGACCCTTTTGCCTATGAATCATCTTCAGGACGCTTTCTTAGGAAGGCCAACCCGCACCAGACAATAGTAAAGCCCTGGGTGTACTCTGTCACCCAGGAAGACAGAACCCTTTCGGATCCTCACATAACCCAAGGTTACAGGTACACGCTGTCAGACAATAAAACACTACCCGCTGCCCAGAAAGCACATCGTGCTTTCTTTTCTTTTTTTTTTTTTTTGTTTAATTTTTAAGTGTTTTATGTGACATGGAGATGGGTCATTGTTTCGTAGAGTCTTTCTTCTCGAAGCAGGATATGTTCACGATGGAACTTATCTCGTCACTGCATACTGTGATTTAAAAAACAAAAAAGATTTAGATGACGTTGTGTATAAAAATTAATATAAATTACAAAAATATTGCAGGCTGCAACGTTGTTCGATGAAAAGGTGTTCGATGAAACGGCTTCGATGAAACGGCGTTCGATGAAACGGCGTTCGATGAAACGGCGTTCAATGAAACGGTATTTGATGAAATGGCTTCGATGAAACGGTAACCGGACAAAAGCTCACCGGACAAAAGCTCACCGGACAGAAGCTCACCGGACAAAAGCTCACCCGTTTTTTGACAGACCCGGACAAAATCTCACCCGTTTTTTGACAGTCCCGGACAAAAGCTCACCTCGATTTCTTTTTTTTTTTACTATCCGGGCGAAACACGGGCTGAAATAAAGTGCGGACGCAATGGACATTGGACCATTTTTAGGAGAACTTGTACCTCATCCACCATTGAGATGAGAATTTTTTTAAAATACTTTGAAAGAACGGGAGTTCGGCCTTTTGGAAAAGTACAAGACAGATGACCAATTTAAAAAAAAATTGTGCGGGATTTTAGATAGGCTCGCGTTCCTTCCACCACAGCTTGTTCCACAAGAACTGACCACCAGGGAAAAGTCTACCGGTGACATCGCTACCTACTGGACTATTTTGATTGCACGTATTTCAACGGCCGCTTCCGTTATGCTTCTGTTCCATCTGCGGCGGCACCCAGAGCGAATTCTTCCCTTCGCCTGACTCTGCGCCGACGGCGACCGGAGTTTCCCCCGGTACGGTGGAATATGTACGACACCACTCTTCAAGATAAAGACCGGATGAGCAACACCTGCGAAAGATAGAGTACCGGCTTCCAGAAGCCCGTCGGCCACGCCCATCCAAGCGTCTTGAGGCTGATTGAATGCCTACAGCAAAATCAGGCGCTCGTTGCCACGGCATTGACAAAAGCCCGGAGAGGTGAGCCCACCGTAAAGCGGGTGCGAAAAATTACTCTGCACCTGCAGAATCGTCTTAGAAATATGTGCGAGGGCTTTTATGTACATCGAGATCTACCAAGACTGCTGGAGCTAGTGGGGCACTGCATTCGCTTCTAACCAATCGATAAATAAACTTGTTTTTACTAAAATCAACAAACCATGCGTTTGTCAGATTTAATTTATCGTTGCCTTTTTGTGTCGCACGCATGCACCTAAGTTGTCCGCACTCGTGTTAAGACCAAGATGAAATTTTCTCGTGGTGAGCTTTTGTCCGGGTCTCTGAAAATATGGGTGAGCTTTTGTCCGGGTCTGTGAAAAAATGGGTGAGCTTTTGTCCGGTGAGCTTGTGTCCGGTGAGCTTTTATCCGGTGAGCTTTTGTCCGGGATTCGATGAAACGACGTTCGATGAAACGGCGTTCGACGAAATGTCCGGACCCAGTCTATAAGATCTTTCTTGTGTTGTTTCAATTTCATTCGTGTTGAGAGTTTATGGCAAGCGCAACCTTGAGAACGCAGCGGTCCCTGCATGCATCATACATTGCGTTCGCTCTTTGTTGCTGAGGCCGTTTCACTAATGGTCCCAGCCGCTTAGCTTAAAAAAGCAGCACAGCTACAGTTTCCGGCAGGGTGCGCGCTACGTGCAAAACTTCATATTCCAACTTTGTTTACGTTTTTTTTTTGTTTTTTTTTTCGAAATGACGATTAGGCAAAATAAAGCTCACAACGTTACTTTTATTGACCACATACAGTCATTTGAATTCCGGTGTGGTTATGAGAAGTTACATTCCCTTCAATGCCATTTTCACGCGTTATAAAGAGCAAGCAACGACACAAGCTTACGCTTGAGCAGCTGTAGCGTCAGATTAGTGTCTTCTGTGCTCTGCTTTGTCGGCGTCCCCGCCATCTTGCAATGTTCCTCAAGAAAAGCAAGACGAAAGAAAACAACCGGAAATTTCAGAGGGCGCGGACTGCATCCGAAGGTGCTCTGAACGCCCGTTTAGTGGAGACTGTGACAGTGACTGGAGTCGAAGTCTTGGAGTCTCCAGTAAACGCGCCTAACGTCGTGTGCGGCGGCCGACATCTACT